CTCTCTCCCTCTCCCTTCCTCTCAGAAATCAATAAACAACATATTTTTTAAAAGACAAAAAAAAGATACCTTAATCAATAAAGAAATTTTTTTTAAAAAGAACTGAACTGAGATTTAAGCTGCCACCCAAGACAGAGTTTGCATTTTCACTCAGTCCAATCAAGTTACCCCCTATCTGCTCTAAAAAGAAGAAAAAAACACCTTCAGCAGGGAATATAGAAAAATCTAGTCTCCACTATATGACATTAACAATGTACAGGATCAATCCAAAATTACCTGGCATACATACAAATGTGACCCACTCTCAAGAAAGAAAAAGATAAATCATGAGGACCAACCCAAACAGACCCAGATGTTAGAACCAACGCAGCTATTTAACTATGCTCAATTACAAAAGGCAAAATGAGGTCATAATGAATTAAAAGGAAACTACAGAAGGCAAACAGTATCGAAATAAAAAGAACCAAATGTAAACCCTAAAACTGAAAAATACAATATCTGAAATAAAACATCCACTGGATGGGCTTAAAATTAGAATGGAGGTGGAGGAAAGATTCAGTAAACTTGAAAACAGATGAATAGAAACTATCCATACTAAAGAACAAAGAGAAAAGAGATTGGGGGAGGGGGGAGAAATGAACAGGGACAGAAAAAAATAAATACTTGAAGAAATAATGGGCAAATTGTCCCCAAATTTAATCAAAGACACACAGCATCAAAGGCTCTGAAATTGCTCAGGCAAGTCTAGTGCTGAGACCTATTTCTGCATGTCTTCATTAATTCTCAGGCCAGTGTACAGAGGGGAGTAAGCATATCCCTTGGGGTATAGGTCTGAGTAGAAAGCCAAGTATATTTGAACAGAAAATGTGTAAAATTCTATGGGTGGGGAAAGATTCAAGCCTACTAGCAACTTTCTTGCTTCTTTCCTGGCTTTTGAAGAGGGTACCAACTGCCCTTTCTCTTTTAGCTCTTGCCTCCCTGACTCCTCAGTTTACCTGAAAGTCTTGTCAGTAAATGAAGAAATGTGCACTGCCAACTTCCTGCCTTCCACCCTTCAGCCAAACCTATCAAGTCTCACCCTGCAATCTTCCCACACATATGTGCACCTCCAATTCACCCTGACCATGGTCTCCCTTTATTTTTTTTAATATATTTTATTGATTTTTTACAGAGAGGAACAGAGAGGAAGGGAGAGGGATAGAGAGTTAGAAACATCGATGAGAGAGAAACATCGATCAGCTGCCTCCTGCACACCCCCTACTGGGTATGTGCCCGCAACCAAGGTACATGCCCTTGACTGGAATCGAACCTGGGACCCTTGAGTCCTCAGGCCAACGCTCTATCCACTGAGCCAAACCGGTTAGGGCCATGGTCTCCCTTACAGCGGTTCTCAACCTGTGGGTTTCGACCCCTGAAAATACATCCTGCATATCAGATATTTACATTATGATTCATAACAGTAGCAAAATTACAGTTATGAAGTAGCAACAAAAATAATTTTATGGTTGGGGGTCACCACAACATGAGGAACTGTACTAAAGGGTCACGGCATTAGGAAGGTTGAGAACCACTAGAATAAAGGTCTCACACCATCTTGAGGACTCACTTCTTTCCTATGAAGTTATCCACTTTGCCCATCTTAAAGGATCTGGCTTTCCTAACAGAAATAATGTCACAAAACGGGGCCCAAGTGTTTTGCAGAATGACACGCCTAAGGGGAAATGAGGCTTGAAGTACAAACCTCTTCTTCATAAACTGGTCTCAGGTCTAGCTGAACCAAAGGCAGATCCCATGTGGAAGAATTACCAAGGGCTGCGAGAAAGCGTCATAGTAAGGGGAGGGGGGGCGGAGGGGCTGGAAATCACAAGCCCTCTCCTTACGGCACCTGCTGTAAATCCCCAAGATTTACAGTCAGCAAGAGTTGTGTGCAGCTGTACTCACGCCTCATGCTGGGATGATAACCTTTCCAGAAACCAGGTGTTTTTTGTGTCTGGGCTTAATCACCAAAGCCAGCCAAGCCCTGGGTCACGTGACTTCATTATGCAGCAGGTGGCAGCCCCACGGCCAGTCTCGGAAACCAAGCCAGGTCAGCCTTTAGATAGCGACATGGGTGGGACATTCTGGTAATAAGGGACCCAAGGACAGAGGGATGACAACCCATGCAGACACCAGGGTGTGCAGGCACAGGGCTGACCCATCCCATCCCCCAGAGGCCTCTGGGGTGGGGGGGCACCCAGAAGACAGCTTCTCTGCACTCCTTGACAGGGAATCGTTTTGTTGTATGTATAGATACATGAATCAGAGTCTCTGCTGAGTTTGTAAGGCTCAGAAAAGAAGGTTGATAAAATCGTGATGTCTGCTCATTTATCTCAATAGGAACTCACTGGAAATCAAATAAAGAAAGCTTCCTGATAGGGCCATAGTTTTGTTGGTCTATGATCACTAGTGCCCAGCATGGAAGACACAGGGCTGAGAAATGATTAAACTGACGTAAAGGAGAGAGAAGAGATTCCTCTGCTTATTTCTCCCTGAGTTCTCTTTCCGGGAAGAAAACACAGGACAGGAGAGACGCAGTTCTGCTCTTTCCCCTCCCAGGGGAACCTTGCTCCTACCCCTTCTTCTTTTTAAGGCCCCTAGGATCATGAACAACTTGTTTTGGAAATTCTTTCAGTTTCTGCATTCCTCCACTTGGGCCACGTCTTGACATGAATGATATGGTTACTCTGGCTCTGACAAGAACAGAGGGGCCTTCTGGGTGATACGTTTGTTGTTGGAAGTGACGGGAGGCAAGGGTCATTTAAGACAGGTCAGAGGGGAAGTTTTTGTTTTGCAAAGCACCATCGGGAGGCCAAAGGGCCTGCGGGGCTCCATCTGGGGGCTCAGCCAGGTGACGGAGCATGGCTCCCGCCCCAGAGGGAGGGTTTATCCTCTTCTCCTGAGCTTGTGGGCAACAAACAGAAATCATTCCTCAACACGCAACCCTCAGACACCCTTTCTGTATTTCCAGGACATGAAACAGATCCCTAATGTGATATCATCTGAAGCTGTGCTGTGCTTTACATACGCAGGGCGCTCTTCATTTCCTGCAAATTGGGTATAAACAGATGAGAAACCCAGTATCTAGAGCAGCCGTGGGCAAACTACGGCCCACGGGCCGGATTCGGCCCGTTTGAAATGAATAAAACTAAAAAAAAAAGACCGTACCCTTTTATGTAATGATGTTTACTTTGAATTTATATTAGTTCACACAAACACTCCATCCATGCTTTTGTTCCGGCCCTCCGGTCCAGTTTAAGAACCCATTGTGGCCCTCGAGTCAAAAAGTTTGCCCACCCCTGATCTAGAGGCTGCATGTGGTGTTCACTGTTTAAAAAGTTTGAGGACCCCTGATCTAGAGGTTGCATGTGGTGTTCGCAAGCCCTTTCTCAACACAGCTCTATCCTTTACTACCAATTACATGTCTCTCATGCTTATGCCAAGGACTTTTCATTCATGTTAATCACGGTTTCTTAAAAGGAAAAGCAATGTTCTGAAAGGGTCCACAGCTCTGGTTGTGGTCTTCAGCCTCTTAGGAACTAAGAATGCTTTATTTTCTTCGTAAAGTGAGGCCAAGCTTTAAGGTTCATATTGTTTTTAAAAAGCCATAGGCCGAAAAGCAGGTTGCTTAAATTACAATTTTTTTTCAAGAGGGACCTGGAAACCTTGTGCTTAAATCAAGTCATTTAAGAAGCTGCTCTGCATGAAAGTGACCTGATTCAAGTCAAGTGTCAGACTCAGAACTCGACTCCCTCCCTTTGTCAAGCTGCTCCATGCAGTGATTCCCACCAAGCTCAGGGATCCTTCACATCATTTCTTCCCTGCCTCGCCTCCTGGGTCTTTTCTGCCCCATAACCCAAACAGGGACTTCTTCCTCTGAACCTAAAAGAGAGCAGCTTTTAGTAGGAACACTATGCCTCCAACCCACAATCTAAACAGAGGATGTCCCAGGCCTATCCTGGGAGCAGAATGAATTCGAGCTCTTCTGCTTAGCCTGCATCCTCGGGGACCTTCACTACAAAAGCACAGTTACGAGGCTCAGGGAGGAATTTCACCAGGCCTTGAGCACCTGTAATGTGAGGCGCTGTGCCGGACCATTTCATCCCCACCTCGAAGCAATCCTGCCGCGACGAGAGGTGGCTCAGGCAGTGAGTATGTCCATCTTCCAGGTCTCATCTGGGACTGATCTATCCCATCTGAAACACTGCCCAACTGCACTCAAAGATGTTTCTACTCCACGGAGTCACCAGCTGAAAGTTACCACCTGGCGGTAATCGAGGCGTCAGGGGCAGATTCTGTTAGAGTCCTGCAACATGCAGAACAATCCTGAGATTGATCACTCCCCCGCAGCCCCTTAATACAGATACCTCTGCAACCCAAATACACTGAGCCCAGTGGTTCAGTCTCTGCACAGAACTGGAGCTAAGGAATCAGAGTTTATTAGGCAAGAGTAATTTAAAAGGAAATATTCCTTTCTGAAGAACATTCAGGGGGGCTCCCAATTCAAAGTCTGTAGCATCATTTCAAAGAAGCCCCCTCTTCCTCTATCATCAAGTTCTCCTTCACCACAACCAACATCACCACCACCGTCCACCTAAGCTGACCTGGAGCTTAGCTGCCAAAGCCCAAAACTCCTTTTTCAGCAGCAGCCCCCTCTTTCCATCCCTTTGTTACTTGACTTAACCTCCGACCCTTTCTATGTAGATCAATTTAGTCTTTCCCCTCCCCTCTTTCCCTGCCCTCAACACGAGAATCCTTTCTCTTTAAGAGGAGATTGGGGAAAACTGGACAGATTAATCCATGCAGGATTTTCATAAATACAGCAAATTAACATTAAGACAGTAACAGTATATGTCGATGGTGCACATTAATGCAGTATTGAACATCACTACATTCAATTGTACATTAGTGTCATGCATTACCCCGTTAATTATACGTTCACACATGCATACCCCTGCCCTCACCTCGATGTGCTCAGGCCTTCCATTGGTATGGACCCTTTCTGGTACTCCCTCTTGGGCTTGAAGGACTCTCTGGGCAGGTACGAGTGATAGATAGGGTAGTTCTCGGTGTATTCGGAGAGAAGACATGGTTTCTCTGTTTTATCGTAAATCTTGGTAGGGAGATGTGGACAATGATGCCGCCTGTAAAAACACATGAAATTAGGTTGGTTGCCTTCTTGAGAAGGTCATATCCAGTTTGATAATGCTACCTTCTCAAAATGTGACCCAGACTATGAATCCATGACTGCTATCATTGAAGACAGAAATGTAACCCTTCCTTTTTTCCACTGAACTATGAAAAGTCGCCAAATTTTTTAATGATCTGTAATTGCAATTGGTTAATTGTCAAAATTCCTTGGATCATAAAATTACACATAAGCACCGGCCAGCCTAGCTCAGTGGTTGAGTATGGACCTATGAACTAGGAGGTCGTGGTTCAATTCCTGGTCAGGGCACATGCCAGGTTGCAGGCTTGATACCTATTGTGGGCATGCAGGAGGCAGCCTATCAATGATTCTTTCTCATCATTGATGTTTCTCTCTCTCTCTTCCTCTCCCTTCCTTTCTGAAATCAATAAAAACACATTACACACAAGCATGGCTGATGTTCAGCCATTACATGTGCCCTATTGCTTGTTTAAATACTTCCCTGCATTAACAGTTAAATGGTTGTGGCCCCCGAGTCCTCTGAGTACCAACTCGACTGGTCCAGGCCCTCCCCTGAGGCCTCCCAATCACCCAGCAATTAGGGCTCCACACCTGACCTGACAGGGTACTCCAAGTCTGTGCTCTGGGGTCAGGCTACTGTCTTTCCTCATTGGTTCCTGGGTCAATTCTGATTATCATTTTTGCACACAAGTGGTATACTACATGCCATTGACTCCCTGAAACCATATTCACATTTTACATCTGGCCCCTTTATTCTTTCAGGTCTCACCTCAATTGCTGCCTCTTTAGAAAGACTTCTGCTGATCATTTATACCTAAAATACACCCCGCTCCCCTCTTCTCTCTCAGTTCCTCTCACCACCCCATATGCCCTTCTCATTACTTACCGTTATCTGTAGTTGGCACATTTGTTTATTGTCTATCTCATCTATCAAGTTCATGACCTTCTCTGTCTTGTTCACTGCTACATCCCTAGTACCTCATATCCTGCCTGGCACACAGTAGGCACTCAATAAACATTTATTGAATGAATGACTGAGTATATAAATGAATGATTAAATAAACTCTGTCTCATTATGCAGGTGATAATAATAATTTGCCATTATATGTTATAGTGAGCTTTTCATTTTGCATGCTGTAATAAATGAACCTTATTATTCTACTAATTGCTGGATAATGGGCAACTATTTGAGCTCTCAAAAACTAAGGAGTGTATCAATTATTTGTGTGCCCATATACAATCCTTACAAACCAGTGGGGCACCTCTAGTCATCAGACACTAGCACATCGACAAAACTCCATGAGTGATTTCCAACTTAATTATATGAAGGAATGGCATGGAATTATTGTAAAACTTTTTACACTGAACTGATTTTAATTACAAAAACTAAAATACACACCACTCTGGGGCAGTGCATAGGGGAGGAGAGAAGGAACGAAAGAGGGAGAGAGAAAAACATACAGAGAATTCATCACCCTCTACTCTAAAGCTATTTTCAAGACAACAATTAGTTAGTAAGTTCAACCATCTAAGTAAATGTTGCTGCCACCGGTGTTGTTACTGGGTACCTCTCTTCAACTCTCCAACCCCCAAAGAGAATGATCGACACCTGCATTGTTCACATGAATACCACTGCATATAAACAAGTTCCTTTACAGATATTTCTATTTTCTTTTCATTTGTAGATTTCTATCTTGAAACGCCATAAGAAGACATAAACTTGTCAATTTACATTTTACTTTTGTGATCATAAAAGTAAATTCATGACAAATATTTTATGCTTTCCTAATTATTTACTAGGCAATCTGTCAAATATTTAGTCCTTATACTATCAATATCTGAATTTCACAGCACTAAATACGCTCAATAAAATTTAGGTTTCCTTTCTCAAAATGCACATTGTTGGCATTTAATACTCAAAGATGAACATGTATTTATATCATATCCTATATAATAAAAGCCTAGGTGGCATCACGCCCTTGTGCAACGCCCTCACGTGGCAATGTCAAGATGGCCACCACAAGAGGGCCACGCGCACAGTGGAGGTGGGGCCCGGTGGCCGTTCTGCACGGTGAGGCCTGGGGGGTCCCATGGCTCTGTGTGGTGCGGATGAGGCTGGTCCTGGTGTCTCCATCGCTTCACGTGGAGGAGGCAGGTCGCAGCAGGGGAAGGCAGTTGTAGGTGATCCGGCCAGCAGAGGAGGGCACTTGGGGGCCATCAGGCCAGCAGGGGAGGGCACTTGGGGGCCATGAGGCTGGCAGGGGAGGGCAGTTGGGGACAATCAGGCCGGCAGGGGAGCAGTTAGGCATCAATCAGGCTGGCAGGCAGGCGAGTGGTTAGGAGCCAGCAGTCCCGAATTGTGAGAGGGATGTCCGACTGCCAGTTTAGGCCCAATCCCGGGATCAGGCCTAAACTGGCAGTTGGACATCCCCCAAGGGGTCCCAGATTGGAGAGGGTGCAGGCCGGGTTGAGGGACCCCCCTCCCCCGCCACACACACACGAATTTTGTGCACCAGGCCTCTAGTATATTTAATAAAATAGCTCCTAATTATAGGAACATAAGTTGAGTGCTTTAATCTTCTGTCCACTTGAGATAAATTGCTGTGTTTCATAGTAAACAAATAACCATCTCCTACAGGATAAAAACATTACCTACTATTACCATTTCTGTGCTCACAATCCATCCAATTATCTGAGATTTCAATCTGAGCCAATTAGTACCCTATTATTTTAGGATTCCTACAAACCTCAAATCAAAAGGTAAGAATTGTGCTGACTACCAAAAATATCTCTGCAGATATATTTTATTCACCCACACTCTGACAGAAAAGTCAAGATTTTATTAAGGATAACAGATCCAGGCACTTGCAATGAAACAGACGCCACAGACATAGCAATATTTTTCCTCTCCAATGCCCTTGTTTTTTAAATCAGTAAAAACTTTGCTTTTATATAATAACCCCTTTTCTATATTGTTACTTTTTGAAACTGTAATATACTGTAAAGGCTTATTCCAACAGAAAAATAAATTTAATGGCAAAATACTACATTGTGATTGGTATCATGAGAGGGGATTTTAGTATAGAAAATGCTTGCATCCAGACACTGATGTTCCATTAAATGGAATTATGTCTAATATGTATTTATAGGGCAGATTTTATGTATTTAACTTGTTGCTAGTTAACTAAAACCTTGTCTTACTTTGAAATATCAAAACTCCTATTTCAAAGTAAATATGTCATTGCCTGAGTTCGCTCAAGGGGTCACCTCCTTTCCTTACCTGTACACACACCCTGAACATCCCTCTCAAGTCACCAAACACCACGGTATCTCCTTGTTGGTCTTTATCCAGGAGTCACTCAAGGATAAAGACCAAGTCCGACATCTGTGTTCTGGAGGTTAGCCCAATGCCTGACATATTTATTTAGCAGATGGATGAACAGTTGGGTAGTGTACAGGAAGATAAACTAATGAAAGAAAGATATTTACAAAGAAAATTAATTGTTCTAACATTAGTAGAGCAAAAAGGGGAAAGGCTGATTCTCAGTTTCTATGACTTAGATCAGTGGTTCTCAACCTTGGCTGCACATTAGAATCACCTGGGAATCTTTTTTAAAATCCTGATTTCTGGGCCTCATCCTCCGGAAATTCTGTTTCTTTGTTATGGGGTGGGGCCACAACATTAGTAACAAAGAAACAGAATTTCCAGAGGATGAGGCCCAGAAATCAGGATTTTAAAAAGATTTCCAGGTGATTCTAATATGCAGCCAAGGTTGAGAACCACTGACCTAGATAGTGCAGAAGGAAAGTCTATGGAACCACCATATTTGGGGTATTGAAAAGTAGTCTTGACAGCCATGAACCAAAGAAATGAGACCTCTCCAGCTCTCTGACACGCGTGTCATTTTAGGAGCTGCCTTGGCCACCTTGCTCAGGAGGACACTGACACAAACCTAGATGGGCCAATGGGCAACAAAGGGGAAGAGGAGGAGGTGCTTTAATCTCTCAGAATTCTCTAAAGTTTACTGGAGAGCATTATGCTAAGTGAAATAAGCCAGTCAGAGAAAGATAAATATCACATGATCTCACTCATTTATGGAATATAATGAACATAAACTGATGAACAAAAACAGATCCAGAGACAGAGAAGCATCGATCAGACCATCAAACCTCAGAGGGAAGGTAGGGGAGGGTGGGGGTAAGGGGGAGAGATCAACCAAAGGACTTATATGCAAGCATATAGGCCTAACCAATGGACACAGACAACAGGGGGGTGAGGACATGAGTGGGGGGGAATAGGGGGGTAATGTGGGGATAAGGACACATATGTAATAACTTAATCAATAAAGAAATTTTAAAAAATAATAAAGTCTTTCCACTCCAGGATAAAGAACCAGAAGTAAAAGGAAATAATCTTGATGTTTTCTGACATATGGTAAAGGGAGTAGTAAAGACCTTTCAATGAAACCCAAAAAAGTAAAACAGTAGTTGACTCTAAATTAGAATCATGGAATTTTAAAACTAAGGAACCAGAAGAATATTTGATCCAATGTCCCCACTATGCAGATAAAAAGTCTGAAGCTCAGAGAACAATGGAAAACAGAACCCAGAAATCAACCCAAGCCATTATGCTCAATTAATATTTCACAAAGAAAGCAAGAGCATACAATGGAGTCAAGACAGTATCTTCAATAAATGGTGTTGGGCAAATTGGACAGATACATGCAAAAAAATGAAACTAGAACACTAACTTACCCCATACACAAGAATAATTTCAAAATGGATCAAAGACTTAAATATAAGTCATGAAACCATAAAAATCCTAGAAGAAACTATAGGCAGCAAAATCTCAGACATCTCTCATAGCAATATGTTTGCTGACACATCTAGGGCAATGGAAACAAAGGGAAAAATAAATGGAACTACATCAACATAAAAAACTTCTGCACAGCAAAAGAAACCATCAACAAAATG